TCAGTTGATACAAAAGAACACAGAATTTCACTTTAAGTGCATACAGTTTTTTATCTCATCAATAAGTGTCAGTTTTGTTACTGGTGATTATATAACTATAAAAATAATTGTTTTTAGCACCTATGTTATCAGGCAGATTGAAAGATCTCCAGAGGTTTATGACTTCCAATCAGTGTTGAGTCGACACAGCTAAGATGCCACGCAGTTTGTTTTGCTGTTTGTTGTTCTTTTTTTTTTCCTCCACAGCTGTAATTTATGGTTTATGAACAAAGAAGGTAGTGGTCCTGTGCCATTTACAAGACTCTTGTATCTTCTATTAGATTTTTGTAGTGGATGCCTCTGCAGGCCTGCCACTGGCTGGTTGTCTCACTCGCCCCCGAATTTCACTTTAGCTCTCAGGCTAAGAGACAGTTGATTTTCTTCATGTGTCTTCTGTCTTTGTTTCTTCGTCTTTTCCTTTCTGACCTGAGTACAGCCGGTAGGAGTTTGTTTGCAAGGCGGCCTGTCTGCTTGAGTTTCGTCTGGAAGCCGAGTGTCATCCAGTCGAGTAGAGTACACGTCAGTCAGTGTGAAGTTGGTGTAAACTTTGATTAGTTTGAACACGCGGTAGTCTTTTCCCATTCACATGGTGTCATTTTAATGTTAAGAGTATTCAGATACACAGACTTAATGACATGCTGGGATAATCTGCTGGAATAAATATATTTTAATTTTTTCTCACCATCACTTGCAGTGGTGCATGCATGCATGTATTTTCAAATTATGGAAATGTAACAAACACAAAGGAAACTCATTCAAATTGTGCAAAATAGAAGAAAAAAACATCCCCAAAAAGTTCAAATTAAAATTAAAGAAGGCCAATACAAAAGTATCCGCTGAATACTAATTCTACTATTTCTGCAGCATTTTTATTATTTGACTTTCACCTTTTGTGAGTTGGGGGTCTTTTTGTTTGTTTTCTGGGTTGTTTTTTTTGCCCATGCCTCACATTGTTGAAGTTTTAGTGGGAAGAATTCATATTATTCCAGAACTTTTAAAAATGACAATATTCTTGAAGGAAATCTGTATATCAATCCAAATATGAATAATAATTCTGAGGAATCAGAACCACAAACCCAGTGGGTTAAAGCATTTTTACTGAGGCTCATATATGGCTGTTCCTTTGTTTCTCTGTGCCCCATTGCCTCTTTGCTGCTCAGTTTGTCCTACAAGCTACAGGGGGAAAGACACTATTGAGACAGCGTTTCTTTCGTTATGGAGGCTGCTCCACTCTTTTGAAATTCCGAGTACTTCAGATATGATTTCTTAACCTTCTAAAGATCAGTGACTTTTCACTTGAGTCTCAGATTTCTGCTCCTCTGTTAAAAAGAACCTCCCTGTAAATGCTTCTCAAGGATACTTAGACTTTTGACCAACCTTTTCATTTTAAAGAAAACGCTGAAATCCACCCTTGAATCTAAACTGTAATATCGACTGCAGAAAGACCCACGGACTTTGAAGTTGTCCTGAATGCCTTATAGATCAACTCGTTTGACAGAGATCCAAGACGAGTGATTGAGAGTGACACGTTTTAACATTCAGCAAGGCTCGATGGTGTAAAGTCACGCTTTAAACAACAGGCCGTTTTAAGTGGTGTCGCGCCAACACATGTTCAGCTCTTGCAGCTTTTGAGATGAGAGATGAGATGAGATGAGATAGCCTTTATTTGTCAGTTGCTGGTCTTTTGCCCACAACCGAGATGACAGACCTTGCCGACCGTACATACAATACACAAACATCACATTGGGGAGACAGATCAGGCTAGGTAGCAAGGAAAAAAAAACATCGAAATGTGTAACACAAAAGGATAATACAGGAAATCATAGATATCAACACACCATAGCACAATAAACACAGACAAGCAACATGGGAAAGTGTTCCAGTGTGTACATCTGATCTGGGACCGCTGCAATCTTCGACTGCGCCTCCAGCTGACCCGATGTCATATCTATTATAGTTTTTAAGTATTTATCTTTCGTGATGTTGCACTGACCGGAGACATCTTTCAATTTCATTGTACTTGTGACAATGACAATAAAGAATATTCTATTCTATTCTATGTCCACATCAGAGGGGAGGTAAGCGTTGGAGGTGGCGTTGGATCCGGGGTAGGGAGGGCGATGCGTCAGTGATTGCTTATCAGTATCAGTATATGTATGTGTTTGCGTGTCCATAGTTCAGCTGAGACAGTGTCCTTCGCCCTGCCAGGCTAAGTAAACAGTCTTCCAGCCAACCCAGGTGGCCTTGTAGGGAATGGGAAGGAACAGACTCAACACAGTCGTTATCAGGGAGTTTTTGTTCGGCTCCAGCCTTGAGCCCACAGCTGGCACCGGGTAGCCGCATTATGATGGTGATTTTTCTTTTGCAACACCTCATGAGAATTTCAAAGCTGTTCTTTAACACTCCGACACTAGTCTCTCAATCTCTCGTTGGAGAACGGCGAGCTTCCCCATGATGGTATCAAACTTGCGTTCCGTGGTGTTGACATTCTTTTGCTCAGAGAGCCGATTCAGAGAACTCACGACTGCAGTCAGCTGTACCACGATGTAATCCAACTTTCACTCAAAGGTGTTATTCTGAGCAGGCCTCTCCTTGATGTAACCCAATATACGCTCAGAGGTGTTATTCTGAGTATTCACGGCAGCTGTAAGCGTCTCCAAGGTCTTAACCATGCTGCTCTCAATGAGCCCGTTCTGAGAAGTCGCGCCTCGTCCCATCGTTTCAATCCCAGCGGGCAGCCTTGGGGGGGTTTGAACAGCCGGTTCCGCTTTCTTAATTCTCCGATAAGCCAGGGCCGAGCCAGCTCCGATCAGCAAGAACCCTGTTATCATAGATCATCATATTTTTTTTATTTATTTATTTATTTTGATGACGACCTTCTTAAACCATCACTTAAGAAGATCATCACCAGTTGTTTAAATCTGCAATACAGTCATAAGGAATAGGAAATATGTGCTGAAGCTGCATATTGGACACAACAAAGATTAGAGTTGCGAACTAGGAATTGAAGGTGGTGTTGAGTTAGGGAGGAGAGATGGCCAATTGGTTTTCCTACCTCTGTTGTCAATCGCCCAGCCTTTAGCTTTTGTATCAGAGACAGATCACTTTGTACACAATTTCCTTGCTAATGATAGGGTGCTGGGCTGGTGCATGCCTCAGTGGAGCCTAAAAGGTAAGTACCCATACTGATGGGCATAGAAGTGCACAGACAGATGCTGTATTTAGGTGGCAGGCTGCCTTGAGTTCTGTGTGTCTTGGAGTCTGCTACTAGCCAGCCCCCGAGCAGAGCCACTCTCCAACAGACTTATTATCCGTCCATCACCATCACTCGCTCCTTTCCTCACGCTCTTTTTTGCTTCTCCTGTTACCCTTTTCTCCCACTCTCTGTTTTAATTCTCACCTACTTCTTATTTGTCACCATTCAGTCAGAATTAAAAACTTGAATGTTATAGACACACACTTTAGAAACACACAAACACACTTGCAGATGCTACCTGTAACCTCCTCTTCCTCCTATGATATGTACCAGAATTGCTACAGTCTCCCAATTTCTCTCTCAATCTTCATGTGCTGCATCTTCCTCTATTTCTCTCCTACTTTCTCATCCTCCTCCCTCTGTTTGACTCTGCTTCCTTTTGTCTCACTGACCATGTCAAACACTAAATAAAGGGGAAGATTTAAAGGATAGACTGTTACGTCCAGTTCATCAATTCATGTATGGGGCCACAAAAAGGGACTGTTCCCATCCACTGCTCCAAGCCAAATGTTAAAATTCAGTTCAAGGAGAACATTTGGTTGATTATTTTCTTTGTTTTGTTGCAAGAAACGGGTTTGTGGGAGGTTTGCTTCAAGAAAACTTGAGATTAATGCAAATCAGATGGGGTCCCTTGCATCACTTTGGATTTTAGTGATTCAGAAACCTCAGTGTTTTTAACACTCCATGAACTCTTGGAGGTCAGCTAATTACAACCAAATGAAATGTTAATATATTTTGACTTTGGCTGATCTCTGCTTTACATAACCTCAACTGCCAGGGGTCAAATTTTGACCATAAGGCAGAAGATAAAAAAAGAAGTTCACCCATTTAAAAAAAAAAATGCCTGATTTTTCTTTGTGTGTTCCCTCTCATCCCACTTCCCCTCTTTAACACGTTCCCTCCATTTCAAGTGTCCTTCATTTTTCCCAGCTTTGCTCTTTTTTTCTTTCCCTTTCTGCTTTTCACCCATGCCTCTTTTCAAACCGCTCCAGTTTGTTCTTGCTAACAGCCCCAGTAGGAGAAGGATGTGCTCTACAGACTGGGGTCTAGGGGGCCACAGCTGCCCAATCACAAACTGATTTATCAACCTCCTCCAGCCAGCCTGCATAGAGATACTGTTTTGCTTGCTTGCTTTGGTTGTTACTTACAGCCAGCGAGGGGAAGATTTAAAGGATAGACTGTTACGTCCAGGTTGTTTGTATTTGTGGCTGTGCATCCTTAGGATGTGTCTGCCATAATGAAATGGCTCTCCCCAAAATGCATCTTGCCTTCTCTCTGTTAGCTTAAGCCTGTCTGTGTCTCTGTCCTGCCGTTCTCTCCCCAGTACGATGTATTAACTGACATAAGTAATGAAAGGCTGACTGGTGAACCCAGCTGATGTTTGTTTTAGAAATCTCCACCACAGCCACTTGATAACAGAAGATGAAGCTTTTGTTTTTCCTCAGTTTCATTGCATTCGTCCTTCACATCCTGGTTGCTCTTTTTCTTCACCATATTTATCATTTTTCTCACATCTCCTCTCTCCCATTACTCCCTCCCCTTGTTCATACACCATGTAGAGTTCCAGATGGAGAACAGATATTCACAGTTTCAAAAAAAAGAAGCTGATTTCAGTGAACTGATTTTTTTTTTCCTTCTTCTTTGTCCCATTTCCCTGACTTTCCCCTCCCTTCCTCTCTATTTCTTCCTCTTCCTCTGCCTCTAGTCCAGTACCAGATGGAGATGATGCGTTCTCTGCGTCACGTCAACATTGACCATCTGCATGTGGGCTGGTACCAGTCCACCTACTATGGCTCCTTTGTCAGCCGAGCGCTGCTCGACTCTCAGTTCAGCTACCAGCATGCCATTGAGGAGTCAGTAGTACTCATATATGGTGAGTAGTCCTGTACAGGACACGGCGTAAAGACTGTTTTTTTTAAAAATCATTTTGTTTACTTTTGTTTGCAAGTTAAGACCAGAAATTGGCAAAACATCAAATATATTTTACTATAGATGAACAGACAGAACATTACAAAGAATTTGAATATAAATAAAAAAGATTCATGTAATAGATGTTAAATTAAGAATTCATCAATTTAAGTATAATTTACTTATTATACTTTTTCTTATATTCTTTCATACTTGCACTGGCGGTGGATGCTCATATTAAATTTGCATAAACATTTAAAGAATAAGAGCAGCTGAGCCTAAAGTTCAGACTGTTCAAAGCACTTGATCTCTGATATTTTGTTTCCTTTTGCTCCGTATGATGTCAGTGAGAGTGGGTATCTCTAATGTGTCAGGTTCACAGCTGTGACTGAGTATAAAAGCCCCCACGAGAAGAAATCTGCCTTAAAGTAGGGGGATGGAAGCTGAAATGGCTTGTTTCGCACAGTGGATAAGCCAAATTATTTTGAACCTTTAATAATGTAAAGCTGCCCTAGTGGGGTTCAAGAATTAAAATAATTGGAAATTTGGATAATAGGTCCCCTTCAAGTTTATGTTGTGTGTGTTTTTAAGAGCCACAATAAAGGTGTAAATCTTGGACTGTCTGTTGCTGTTACATTAAAAAAAAAAAGTTGTATTGATAATGTGATATCAAGCCAAAAGGAGAGAAGGGATCCACTGCTGTATTTGTCACATGTCCTAAAGCCATTCAAACCTTTCACAGGGCACCAGTACTGAAAGAGACTCATGCTGGTGGAAAGTCATTCTAGTAAAGTTGGCCCCACAAAGTACTGCTGAGTCCTCGTGAAATAAAGTAAACACAGCAACATCAAAACACTCACCCTAGGCCTGAAAGCAGAAAAGCTTGCTTAGTTTCAGTAAACATGGTCGTTATCTGTTTTCTTTCTCTTGCACCAAAATGGTGCCTCTACAAGAGAGTTGATTACAGTCATTTATGCTTCATTGTCACTCAGGTTTCTGCCATGATTAAACAACCACATGTCAAATTTAGTCTCTTTAATCAATAGGTATCCAAGAATAGGACTGCCACTGAGAAGTCTTAAGATATTTTGCTGCGGTGCACTTTTAGAAACTCAGCAATAAATCAGTCTGACAGATGTAGGAACAGATTAGTGGAGGTAAGCACAGATGTTTAAAAAACAATCTAATTCTAAGCGTCATGTGCCTGGAATTAGATTTTTGTTTCAAGATGGATTTCTGCAAGTTCTGCATTGTCATCAAGTCTATATCATCAAGGAGACTGCCGATTATTTATAGAGAGTTTTTATTTTTGTGCACATCTGCAATAGTACAGATTTAGATGGAGATGACTTTTGGCTTTTGACCTTACAATAAATTCTGTTGATGCTGTGGTCTGGAACTCTTGTGAGGGAAAGGCGGGCTCGCAGAAGACTGGATTAACTATGTAGCCTGTAGCTGCTAACATGAGACCAACAGGCATTATGTGGGTTCACCTGCTTCACAGTAAAAGCCTCTAAAAGCTCCCCGGAAATGCTGAACCACCCCAGATGGTGTAAGGATTTAAATGACAGCAAAACATGACAGAAAATGAAAACCTGTCACTACTTAGTGAAGTGTTAACTTCTTAGTGTCTAAATAAATGGAATTTTATTGCCACACCAAGTTCAGAGGGAGCATATTAATACATTACATGGATAAGTGGACAATGAAATGGATGATAATGGCGATCGTTTCGTCGTTCCTGTCAGAGTGCTGCTGTTTTCTTTTATCCATCCATCCATTATTTTCCACTTATCTGAAGTCAGGCTGTGGATGCAGCAGGTTAAGCAGCGTATTCAAGAAATCTTTCTCCCCAGCCATGTTCCCCAGTTTCTCCTGGGGGATCCCAAGGCATTCCCAGGCTTGATAAGAAATCCAGTCACTTGAGCAGGTTCTGGGTTTACACTGGGTTGTACGCCCAGTCAGGCGTGCCCAGTCGTCATCCAAACCAGATGTCCGAACCACCTCAACGGACTCCTTTTGACATGTCCTTGACAAATTGCCAGGGCGTGTCATTTGTGCGTCCGTGTGATCCTGGGAAGTGTGTTGTCCAAGGCCTTTGTCACAGAGGTGGGACCGGACAGCGAGCAATTTGGAAAATTCTAAAGAAACCGATTGTTTAGAGGTGATTAACCTCACCAGCGAGCATCTGATGGCCAGGCCTGCCTCCATGAGGCCTGAAAACTAGCATGGATCTGCTACCCTGTGGGCCCACCTTCTGCAGAGGCAGGCGTTGGTGTGAGCTGCAGATTGAGCTGGGCGGTAGGCAAAGGCAGGGGTGTTGGTGTGTGGACCCTAGACATTACAGAGGACATGGACCAACACATTAAACTTTTCTAAGCTGAGGAATCAAATATAGACACTGTCAGTATGCCACACTGTGTCAAGAAAGTATTTCCTCTCTGTATTGCTCATTTTGTTTTTCTCCCTCAGGTTTATGAACCGAAAAATAAAAGTAAAGCCAGGGTGACACAAAAAGACTCACAAGCTCACTGAATTTAAAGCAGTCTTTCATTAAAACCGTTCACAGTTTATCCAGTTACTTCAAGTCTAGAGTCAGACAATAAAGAGGACTGTAGTTTAAAAAAAATCTCAGATTTAGGAAAATGAATGTATTCTGTGCAGGGAAATTGCTAATGAAAACAACTTTGAATTTCAAGGTTTAAGTAATGCTGACTGTCGAGGAGCTCTCCCTGCCCTGTTCTGTCTCTTTAGCATTACTCCTGGGTTGTATTGTTTTTAGATTGTAGACACTCAGTATTGATAAAGATTAAATTTGACCATTTTAAACATGCAACCCTCTGATCCAGTCATCCTAGAAAGCCATTTAGCCAAGCAGTGAGCGTCCTCTCATTCCAAAGGAGTGCGCTGTTATGTCAGTCAATAATGCAGCGCTTAACAGATCACAGTGCCTCAAAGGAATTGACATTATATCTCCGTTTAAAGTCAAAGGGAAAGAAAATTGATTTCCTTTTTTTTTTTTTTTTGTTCTATTTTTCATTAGCTCACCGTTCATTTTACGTCGATTAAGGAATCAATCCCGTGGCCAACTGGCGGCGTTAATGGCTTCTGTCCAGTGACAGCACAGAGTTAAAGCTGGTTGTTAAACCAGTTGTTTGAATGTGTTCAGTGCAGTGACTGTCTTATTTGAGGTGAAAAATTGAAGAGGTTAAGATGGACCAACGCAGAGCTCTGTGCAGTTTCCTTCTGTGTATTTGCAAAAATAAAGACAAAAGTCTAACAGTTTACTGCATATTGACCAACAGAACTGATGTATAAAATCATGTGTGTACCACTTGGCACAGATTAGTGTCTGTGGGAAGGAAAAGATAAAGGTTCCGTGTCCAAATTCACGAGGCTCCTGGGGCTTCAGGCTTGATCATGCAAAATGTTAATTAAGCCATCAGGCTTCCTCCAAGTATAGGATGGTTGTCTTTAGTGAACTGTTGCTATTAGCAACCACTCTCAGTGGAGATGACCACATGAACTGAACTAGCTAAGTTGTAGGTAAAAAGGTGGATGTAGTTAAGACCCATTTTCTGCAGGTAATCTGAACAGGAAGTGAACTTTGTTTTTTCTTATTTGCTGCTCTTACTTTATTTTAGTGTGTTGAATTGATTTTTATAACAGAAGCAATTTTGTAAGTGCTCTTCTTTTTCCTACTTTGTATGCCAGTACAAGAATAGAGTTTTCCATCCCGAAAATTGGGGAGAGGACATACTGACGGAATCTGAAAATTCCCTGAGTCATTGTTATAATGGCTTATCTGCAGATGAGACCCTTTTAACAGGATCTTTTTGTTCCTCATATTTTCACTTTGGGGACATGCACGTTTTTGGCTCAGTTTGACTGTATTAATCTGTAAACTGTGGCTTTTCTTTAGAGAGGTGTAAAAAGGAGTCTGCTGGAAACCACATTTCAGAGTTATTAAGGAGAATACTGTGCATTATGATTAAGCTACTGTGGCCTATGATGATGGCGGTCACAGTGCAGAGACACACCACTCTTTTCCGTGCATGGAAAGGAAGCTAATTATTATTGTTGACATGTCATGCTAAGTTGCCTTTGCAAATATAGTGCTTAACTTTGGCTTTGGCTTAATAGCAAGGCAAGCCTGTCAGTTCTCTGAAAATTAATCATTAGGCTTTTTCATTTATGAAAATTGTAAAATTTAAGGGTTTTATGATTCTCAGTGCTGAAAAATTGGATATCATCCTAGTCCGTGTTGTACATTTTGAAACATCCCTGTTTTATCACTGTATTCAGGGTGAATACTTTTCACGTCTTTAAGGGGGAAAGAACATCAAAAAGAAAAAACAATCCCTCTCTCACTCAGGATTTCACATATAACAATATGAGTCGTGAAAGCAATCTATGTCAAAACTGTGTTCAATAAATAGAGCTGTCGTGAAACTTCCAAAATGAGTCCAAAATTGCATTGTTGTATTTATTTATTTATTTGAAATGGGCAAAATGAAAACCATGAGTTTGTTTTCTGCAACCCATATGATTTAAGATGGTTATTGCAGGTTTTTTTCTTCTTTTTTTAAAATCAAGCTCTCACCTCTGTCTCATTCTAGATCCTATAAAGACGGCTCAAGGCTCCCTGTCTCTCAAAGCCTACAGGCTTACCCCAAAACTCATGGAGATCTGCAAAGAGAAAGATTTCACACCTGAGGGGTGAGTAATTCAGGACCAGAACACACAGCGGGATACTACTCATGCTACTACTTTTACTTTGTTGGCCATGCCCACACAGAAATGCAGATATTCACAGATAACTATATGTATACACATGAGCTGCTATTGCTTATAGGAATTGAGAATTATTATTATTATTATTATTATTATTATTATTATTATTAGTGGGGGGTTTTCACAGTTCCAATTCTGTTTATTCAATGGATGCAAATATGGCCTTTGCATCCTCAGGGGAGGTATTTAGTAGCAGTTGAAGATGGATGCTGATGATGATGATTTATCATCTCGCCCTTGCCCGTCAAACAAATGTACCATGTTTACACTTTTTCTGACCCCAAGGCTTATCGTAATTGCTTTTAAATTGCTGCTAAAAACGTCTGTAATGAGGGGGACTATTTTCCTGGCAGTTCAGGGTGGTGCCGGTGCACCAGCTCCCACATGCAGAAACGCACGAGGGCGCAAACGCTCGGACAAATGCGAGCGTAACGGCCCAGTGGAGAAACACCGCAGGCTGTCCATTAAAAATCTTTAGATATACACTTTGAAATCCACTAAAAGCAAGCGTATTTGCAGGCAGTACGGCAATTTAACTGCATCATTTCATTTCCCTCTCTCCCAATTTCCTCTGTATTTCGCCACCTGTGTGCGTCTGCCAGCCACTCTGTTATTGACCCACTGTGTTTGGCCCAGAGTCAGGATCCTTCTCATTTCTGCAGCTTTTCATTAGTTCCTATGATTTATTATAGCCCCAATCTGTAGCTATCAGTGTTCCCAATAAGTCCGTGATTGAAAGAGGGCAGCTCAGGGCAGGAAAGGACAATATCGCCCCATTACAACAATCTCGTCTCTATCCTATTATTTCCAAAATAGACTAGAAATCTGAATATCAATAACATTTTCCCTCCTCCAAAGATGCAAAACTTCAAAAGTGTTTCATTTTTCCCCTCTGCTACAATGTGCAGTAAAAAAATCAGCCTCTTTCATGTTGCTGTATTTGATGTTGCATAAGCTTGCATATATTGTGCACCTTTTTTTGAAATGAAAGGCAAGGATAGATGACTGTTGAATAGGCTCATCCCTTTGAACTGCCCTCCAAGTCTGTCGGGCTATGAAGGCAGTGGTCAATAGCGTCCACTTCAACACAAAATCTGAAGCTTCAAATTAGTCTGCCTGTGGAGTCAACCTTTTGGCTTTGTCCAGCGGGGCCCGACTTGTAAAGAGCGTGGCATTACGTGTGCCAGAGTCTAGTATGGTTGAACAATTTGTCCTGCGTAGAATGTGCTGTCCTTCCGTTTCCTCATAGCCACCTTTTTATATCAATCTGGCGGCATTTGAAAAGGTCATCGAATGCAGGAAATGTTTTAAAGCCCTCTAGATTGATAATTGTGCCAAATCTTTAGCAAACAGTGTTTATATCATTATGGATTTCCTTATAGACTGCTGTTACCCATACTGACTCGGAGCCCGGGGCACCATTGTCGTCTTGCTTTTGCCTCCGAGTCTCCTCTTAAAGTTTGCTTGAGGTGCTGCTCTACTTAGAATATAAAACAATATCTTTCAGAATAACTTAAAATCAGTGATGCTCCACATCCCTATTTATCACACAGACACGAATTATACAGCCCAAACATCTCTGTTTCTGGTACATTGCACACGGCAGATTAATGCAGTGAGTGTATTGATCTCATAACAAGCACAATGCATCTAACAAGGCAACATTAGACACATACAGACATTAGTTTGTAGCCCGTCCACTGTGCGCGAGTGACAGGCTGAGCCGAGGCAGTCAGTCAGGGTTATTAGATTTATGTGAGACATTAAGCAAAGATTGAAGTTCCATTTTGTGTTAACAGACCCCTGTTAGAAAAAGGGAGAGAGAGGTGCGGCTTTCAGCTCCCGAGGAGTTGATCAGGAATTAGTCAGTGCCTTGTGTGCTTGGCATAATAGCCCTCCCGCAAAGTTCATACTGGTTACTGTGGCTAACATTGCTATTGGGAGGCAATATGAACTGCTGAATCAATGACAGCATTTTTTACATGTCAGCGTGTAACATGCATTATAATATTTTTCAATATTGCACAATACTGAAATGCAGCTTTTGTTTTAATATGGAGAAACGCATGCTAACCAACACGAAAATTTGGAGTAGCAGAGGAACAGACTAGAAAAACTGATTTCAACACTTGAATGCAAATGAGTCCCAGCAGAGCAACTATTAACCCCAAACCACCGTCTGTTCACTTAAAAATGTATTCGCAATTGCTATAGATCAGCTAAGACCAGGTTTGTTTAACAGTTGTTTATTTTCCATTCTGATTCACTCTCTTTTGTGTCAAGGTAGCTGTCCCTTTAAAACAACTTAATGTTTCTAATAGAAAAAAAATTCCTGTAGTTAGTATAAACCTGTGACTGTGATTCAGCACAACAAAAAGAACAGTGGTTATCACACGGGGCCAGGCACTGAAGTCCATCAGGGTTCCCTTAGAAATCATATGAGATGTTTAAACCCCCACCACTTTTTTTGGCATCATTAATTTTCAGCCACATCATTGGGTCCATCACACTTCGAGTGAGTTTAAAGTAGAAAGATGGTCGAAATCCACGTGAGAAATGTGAAGAAATGTGATTTCACCTTTACCTCCTGTCTCCCCTCCCCTCTTTTCTTCTTTCTCTGTCTCCCTTTAGCTTGAAGAAGGCCAACATTGGCTTTGAACAAATGTTTGAGGAGGTGCCCATCGTCATCAAAAACTCCCATCTTATCAGTGTACTAATGTGGGAGCTGGAGGACAAGTCCACGGTCGCCGACAAGCACGAACTGCTAAACCTCTCAAGCAGGTCAGACATGAGCTCATGCAGCCATTTACCACAAGGGCCCAAGGCCAGACACCTTGGTTGTAAAAAGGCAAATAAGATATTGGTGGACTACACGTTTTTCTCAAGAGGGGAAGCTTATCTGGATGGTTTTTTTTGAAGGGTTATCAACATATGTTTCCTAACCTTTAGTACTGCTTTACTTTTATTATCTATTCTCATGCCCGCATTGCAGTGTGAGTGCTTTGGTTTTCTTCCTGATGTTGTATATACATTTTTTTTTTTAAATTCCCAGATTTAAAACCCTGTGTTATGGTTTCTTTTCAAGTTTCAAGACTCCTGTTTGCAAAGCCGACAAATAGTTAATCTTACAATGCAAAAGAAAAGATCTGTGGGACATCGTAACTGCAGGACGTTTTTCAATATTTCACCTTAATGGCTCAATAAGGTCATCTGAAATTCGTACCATCTCTTTTCAGGCTTTGTGTAAAATCTACAGTCAATAGTGGTTATTGATGGAAATTCTTTCAGCCCACACAATCCAGCTCTGAGCAAAGTGTCACCTTAGTTTGATTTCTTTGTACATAGTCACCATAGTACAGTGAGTACTTATCTCCTAAAGAATGCAGGCAATTCTTAAAATCATCTTACAAGCTTTGAAGCCATATTGAGGGTATCTCTTTAAGCTTGCAGGCTGCTTCAACAGACATGACTTAAGGCTACTTCTAAATTAAAATTGATTTGACATTAGCGAACTCTTGGGCATTAATCTGTGTCTTCTCAACTGTTCCAAAAGCTGCTAGATTGAATGAAAAAATAAGCAGTTTATTGATGCATTCTGCCTTTTGCGTACCCTCCCCAGGGCCACCACACTGGATCTTACATCCACTTCCATCTCCTATACTTGGGTTTAGTACTAGTTGAGAAACTTTACTTGGTATGATAATATAGATTTATGTGTTATTGATATTATACATATCAATATTATTACATTTTTATTATTGCATTGCAGTGTTTAGGTCAGATGGCTCTGACATGGTTGAACATGCAGATGATTCATTCATGAGGAAAGGGTCAGATACAGTGAGGTGGATGCACAGTGTCTACAGTTCCTATTCCAAATGTTGGAAAGTTGGGAAAAATGTAAATAAAAGCATAAAGGAATGAACTGCAAATTTTGGGTAGTAACACGATTTCAGGTAACACGACTGGACATAAACAAAAGAGCTTGTTAGAGTTTCACAGAAGTAAAGATGTACAGCAGACTTCAAAAAACTATAAACACGTGGAACAATTTCACAATAATGTCCCTCAATGTAAAAGTTTGAAAACTTTGAATAGCTCATCCTCTTCAGTATATAATCTCACCAAATGATTCAAAGAATCTGGACAAGTCTGTGTGTAAGGGACAGGGATGGAAATGTTGGATGCTCATGAGCTTCAGGTCTTTGGGCAACACTGCATTTAAAAACAGGTGGGGCTTTGTCATGGAAATCATCACATGGGCTTAGAAGCACTTCCAGAAATCAATCAAGTTCAGTCTCAGTGATCCAAAGATGACGCTATATATGAACATGGTCTAGAAACACTGCCTTCTTCTCTGACCCAAACCTATTTAACCCTGGAGAACCAATGGGGTCGGATCTGAACCCATGGGTTCTCCAGGGTTAAAATGGACCTGGAGAAATCCAAATTTCAAATTTATTTTGTAAACATGCTTCGCCCTCTGCACTGAAGAGCAGAGGGACCGTCCAGCTTTTTATCAGCACTTTTATCGTGCCTGTGAAATTGGCAGCTCGGCACCATCCGTGCTTAAAGGTGTATACAGGTTTTAGAGCAACATATGCTCATATCAAGTTTGTAGGGAAGGTCCTGCATATTTCACCCAGAACATGCTTGACTGCACACTGAAGCTATGATAACAGCATGGCTTCATAGTAGAAGAGTCCAGATGCTAATGTGGCCTGGCTGCGATCCAGACCTTTCACCATCTGAAAACATTTGGCACATTATGAAATGAGCAACATGGCAAATAAGGCCAAGGACTGTTGAGCTGCTAGAGCAAGAATAATCAGACGGACAAGAATGGGACAATATTCCTCTGCTAAAAGTCCAGCAGCTGGTCTCCTCAGTTCCCAGACTGTTGTTGAAAGAAAAGTGGGTGTTACACACTGGTAAACATGGCCCTGTCCCAGCTTTTTTGGGATGTGTTGCTGCTGTTAAATCCAAAATGGCCTTATTTATTTATTTATTTGTTTATTTATTTATCTGAAAATAGTATATTTTCTCAGTTTAAACATTGCATTTGTGTTTTATTTACATTTCACAACTTTTTTTTGAAATTGGAGTTGTAAGCTGGAAGACAAACTACACTGGAGCCTTAATAGCATAAACAACTGTGTCCCTTTCCACCCATAATAGCCTTTTGGAAATAATGGGGTTTTATGTTGTGCTGGCAAAAGTTACGAGAGAGGACTTTTAAATAGGATTATTTTCTTCTTTTTTATGTTATTTGGTATGAAGAATATATATATTAAAAAAAAGAAGGAACAAGTAATCAAACCAATTCCTTTAAACTTTATTCTAAAATAACTGGATCGTACCAGATAGTAGGTGCTACATTTTTTTTGGGGGGGGGATTTTGTAAATTGCTCCAATCACTGCCCACAAATGCATTCCAGGGCGCGTCTGAGCACTTATCCGATTTCCCAATCCTGTACCTTTTAGGATGGAATTGGATGTTTGATTGAGAGATTCACTCTAAAACTCGGTCCGGTAAATGCCACATTTTAAATGTCACATTCCAAAATGTCTTCAAAAGCAGGACCTGCCATCAAACTTTGCCTACCATCACTAATGAGCACAATATGAACAAATATAACCAACCATATCAACTCACAGCCTGGCTCTTTAAGTCTCGCATTTATATCTCAGAGGCACTCAGCATCAGTCTCAGGAGAATTTATCAGCAATCATTTATGGAGATAAATCGCTGCAAGTGGAGCAACAGCTGTGAAGCTGCTAATCAAAAAGCTTCCCAGGGGCAGGTGTGAGAAATTAGCACAATAACGACTCAAAGTGCTGATTTACACACTGGCAGCGCGCAAAACACTGTGCTCACTTGCACGCTGCGGCGAGGCACTTCGGGAGTTGTTGTTATTCTCCTCAACTGTGTCCTTAAACGCAAGTATGGCATGACTTAAATGAGGCCTCATGCAGGCAGACATGTAGGTTCCATGAGCATGGCCAACAGAGGCAGGCAGAAACCCCAGCAATTTTCTTCCAAATTACTAAATAGAGTGAAGGAGAATGGCTCACTATTCTTGCATATTGTTCCATTTTCCAAGTGATTACTCTGAAGTTGAAGCATAGCTTTTGATATCGCCCAAAACGGAGCAGAAGCAGGATGGCCCTCCCCCGTAGGTTTTTCGACACAACCGCCGATGGGATGTCTGGCAAGATGAAATTGTTTCCCCGAAGTTGTCAGATTGCTGCACAGCTCTGCCCTCGTATTGGATTGTAGCGCTCCATCTCTCTACATCTTCTGCTGACAGCCCCACCCTTTTCTCCTCATTTCCACCCCTTCAAAAAAAAAAAAACGGAGGGAAAAAAAGAAGAAAAAGTAAACGATAATGGGTTTTATTTAATGTTTTTCCTTTTGTCTCATTTTCCAATCTGCGGTCCCATTTGTCAATGTCATCTATGTCTAACGCTGAGAGAGTGCCGTTTCACTCCAGCAAACAGGGTTCTTCTTACCACAGATGATGATGTTGATCGTGGTGATGGATTGTATGAATGTAAATTCATCTATGTAGCCTTTCAACCCCCACAGCCCTCTTGAAATACCCATGTTTGCAGTGTTATTAAAACTAAACTACATTTTGGGCCTTTTACAAGGTCTTCACTCATGTGTAAATTTCCCATTTAGTTCATTACCCCCAGTATCTGTCTGATTAGTGTATTTGGCCTCCTGCCTGGACTCTTTTACTGTTGGAAAAGTGAAAAATATGTAAACATATTTTCTCTGATATTAAATTACCCTGATGATAAGTTTTCGGTGAGTGAGGGGGAGGGGAGAACTTTTAAGGCTTTGTGTGCTATAGCTGCTGATGCAGGTGAAGAGAAATAACTGGAAATGGGGTCATGAGGCAGGTGTTGACAGAAGTGTCTGTGTGAATGAAATGATCTGCAGAAAAATTTGACCCTTGACACACAAACTTGATCCATCGAGATGGACTATAAGAAGGGGTATTTTTGAACAAAAGCCAATAATAGATCCTTCTCTTAAAAGGAGACGGAACTGAAATAATGATAATGGGCAGGAAGCAGTGAGGGATGGAGAAAGGTATTCAGTCACATAAGGTTTTAAATTTGTGCCAAAGCTAACATTCATCTTTTTCTCTTTTTTTATATAACTGAGACAATGCTGTACGCGTACGTTGGGGAAAAATCTTTTTAGATTTATTTCGAGTCCTCTTTAAAACAAATTATTCCGCTGGCGGCGCAAGCCAGCAATCCACATTGTGCTCGAGTCCATCAGTTAAAAAGACTCCATCAGAATAAAACGCTCATTCTAAGAGTGGAAGTCATTTCCTTGGCAGCTTTGTTAAACAACTCCCCTCTGAACTTTCAGTTTTAGTGAATGTCAGCCAACTTTTGCTCACACAACAATGCAGGTTTGTCCTCTTTTGTCCTGGGCAAATACAACCCTGTGGACACAGGCACTCCTACTGTACACTGTACGGGCCTCCACTGAACTTGACAGAATCGGCGATGGTGCGAAATCCCTAGATAGACTTTGATTTCTAATTCAGTATTGATTGCAAAGCTTGCTGATGCCTCTGAATAATTTAACCCTGTGGAGTTTATGGCCAGACGTTGTGGAGTGTGGGATACATTATTCAGCGTGCAGTTGTAGCAACTTTCTGTAACTGGTAACATTCAGTTTTCGAGTGTTTGGAGAAGACACGGAGCAGTTATGCGGTTTTTCTTGTATGGTCAGGGTTTTGAAAACAGAATATCAAACTGAACATGCTCCAGTACACTAAACTAGTTATCAGACACACGAGACACTGATGCAGTTGGAAGCTCAAAGCACAGTAAAGGAAGTCTGTGGACTGGGAGTGAAGTTTTGTTTTAGTCTTTGATAAAATAGTCCTTTTAATTTTTACTTGTCAGTTTCTCGTTTTTTCATTTGTTACATAAGCTCTCCAAAAATCTTGCAATTTCACAATCAGGGACAAAAGACATACAAACTGATAAGAAATCCCACTAAATTGCAAGTCACTCTTACTCACCACCGGCACACAGTAAAGCTCACAAACACACACTCAGTCCAGCTCAGGCATTTGACACTTACATAAACGGCAGATGTTTTGAAGGATCCTAGATGGATTCTTTCGCATATATTATTCATGCGCACCACACAAATTAGCCACCATATTGCTGGATGAAATAGTTTTAAATGGGCTCTCGTCAGTGAGAATCAATTCTGACACAGTCAGAGGGACGCAGTAGGGAAGTGTTATGCTGAGAGTTTGCATGTTTACAATGGAGGGTTGACAAACTGATCACGCAACAGTCCTCACAGGCAAACACTACTGTACTGGAAATGGTTCAGGCAGTCCAGATTATGGAAATGACTTTGAAGTTAGTGGAAATTTTACGTGTTTTGCATGATGGCTTTAAGTAGTTTGATCTTTCTGAAACCTGTTCAGCTTTTTCTGATTAAAGTTCTGAATAAAGGGCAGTATGCAAGCATTTAAGTAGATTATCTAATCGCTTATATTAGCGCACGCCTCATGCAGATGCAACAGTATAATACTGATAGTGTCACAGATAGTTAAGGCATGTGAGAATAGCACTATAAATCATTGTCAGCACTGTTCATATAATTATCAGCATGCCTGTGGTTAGTTGCATTAATTTTCTCTCGGTGTGTGCATATTTTCATGTAAATATAATTAAGGTGTTTGCAGTTAATGGAAGGCGATGGTAAACCAAGATGATCACGATGAGTCTTTAGAATGTGCATAAATTTCCAAAATGTATTACTGCTTAACTTTATGCAAATACTTATTGTCCTGTAGTTTCTGTTCTGGTGTGCACTGTAGCCGCAGACCTGATATATTGTTCTGTATGTTGCTCATGCTTTAATATAAAACCTGAAAACGGAGCTTGCATGCAGCAGTGAAACTGTCAATTTTCAAATATGAGAACTACAGTATTTTTAGTGTTGGACTGTAATTTTATGTCATCTGTTGCTTGCAAAGCAGTGCCGTGACAGGAGAAACTTTTCCTCAGTATGCAATTACTCCAGACAAAAATTCAAAACCACTTTATGCACATTTATTGCTTTATGTAAGCCATACAAATTATAGCCCCTCTTTACAAACCGAGTTTACAAAGTGCTTTGGCAAACAAACCAAATAATACTCGGAAGGTAAAATCAGACGGCCAAACATTAGAGCCAGAAGAAATGGATGCAATTAAGTTAAAGCTTTGGTAGAATTAAATTAGCAAGAATAAGGATGCAAAATGCATAACAGATGATGAGAATAAATGATAAATACAAGCGGAAGATTAAAGTCAAAGGAAGCACAAACGACTAAATAAAACAAGGTGGTAGCCAGTAATGGACTGTGAAAGACATCACCTAACAACATCACATAAATGCAAGTTTATAAATATGTTTTTAAGAAGTGAGGAGATTATTATGGATTTTGCAAACCAGGTCTCCTCAAGCAGGTCACGACCAAGAGGGCCTGGCGCAAGCACGGCAACCTTTAGAATAATGTGTTAACTTTTTGAACAACGAAAGGTATCTAGGACTGCAAATTCAGGTCAGCATATGATATGAAATGTACTTCGAGGCCAGAACCAGACTTGCTTTAAGGGCAGTCAGTAAAATAAAAAAAATGTATTATGAACATGTACCGGAATCCATTGGAGCGAAGGCTCGATTGGGGAGATGTTATGTGTGATGATCCCTCTGCTAAAGCCATCAAGAGGCCTTAGCTTCTGCGAATGGTTCGAGGGGTTTTTATGTGCTCACCAAAAATGGCGGAGTTGTATTGCAGACAAGGGGCTGCTATAAAAACATCTCTGTATTAAGAGAGTCGCAATTCACAGTACGTGTCACGACAAGCCATTAAGTCTAACTCTCTGCAGATGCCCAACCAGACACGGATCAAGGCAGCAGCACAAAACCATTTCTAAATTTTTAAGTGTTGCTTAGAGCGTAGTGACCTCTGTAATTGTGAATACACCAGTACTCCTAATATGACCTGGTGGTTTCAAACTGAGTTACCGAGTCAGCCAGTCCTTGGTCATAGTGGTGACCAAAACCCAGCAGTCACAACAGCTAGTTTAGAAATCCTTTGGCGAAATGGGAAAGCCTGCTAAAAGGACAGCCCATTCAGCAACCCTCAATTTAGACCTCTGTGCTAGAGTAGGTAGATGGAGACCAACTGAGTAAAAGGCACAAGACAGCCTTGTTGGAGTTGGTCAAACTGCATTTAAAAAAACTCTGAGAAGTTGAAGAAAAAGATTCTCTGACCTGAAAAGTCAAAATCTGAAATAACTGGGCAGGGCTCCAAACAAGTCTAAAAGAAAACACCGGGTATTTTATAAACTGCAAAAGTAAAGGGATCAGAATACTCCGACATGACTGAGTGGGTTTCATTTGAACTACAGAAAGCTGAAGAATTGAATATGAAATAAATATGCACAAATTGTTATGGGAAATGTATGTGGCTCAGGTCAATTATGGTTACAGTGGAGATTGTTTCTGTGGTGTCAGTGCAGATATAGTGAGTTTAAGTGGGTTTAGGCTCAAATTTAAGTTGAGACGGTAATCTCTTTTTCTTGGCTTTCAACAAAATAAACAGATTGTGACGGGCTGAGAGACAAATATTGATTCCTTTAGAAATTGTTAATAAAACTCAGAGGAGAGAGGAATGTAACTAAAACCATTCAAAGCACGCTCCAGTCTTCCCACACACTAACATATTTATACAAACGCACAACAGTTACATCAGCACAAGTACGCGCACTGCCAAAACATACACGGTTTTGGCAGTTCTTACGGGTATAGCTGTCATTTAAATAAACACTACGAATCTGTTTTCCCACAGTACATACTGCATTATGTAGCACCCAAACATTCGTAAATGAAACAATACAACTCCACAGAGGGAAGTACAAGAGGGATACAACTTGAAGTAGAGCTCTGCAGTCTTGTGAAGGTTGAACTTAAGAATGTAGCAAGACATCCTGTTAAAAATGGAGCTCATGGGACGAGAGGGAAGTGGAATGCTGGTGGCGCTCTGTTTTGAGTCTTGTCAGCATGGCAGCATTGGAAAAACATGAAGGATGTGACGACATCACAGAAATGTGTAGGAGAGGGGCATGAAGTAAGGTCCACAGGACCTGTACCAAGTACTGACCAAACCTGGGATCACAGGTGACTTTCAGGTCATGGGTCTCAAGAGCAACAAATTTAGTAGGAGGTGAAAGGTCAAAGATTAAGTCGGGATGGATACAAAGACCTTGACTTCTCAAAGCTTGGAAAGTTTTAGATTCATAGTGGTCAATTCTAGATGGGAATAGTGTAGTTATGCTGCAATAGGCCTAGGCTGCTGGGAGCTTCCAGTGATACAATGAGTGTTACTTCTTCGCCTACCTTTTTTCACTCTGTGTTTATAAATCACTGCATTTAATCATTAGTGAAGCTCTGCCTCTCTTCCACAGTGTGTCTTTTGTCCTGTCTTCCTCTTCTCACCTGATGCCTGCCTCTCCCTTAACCTGGTTCTGTCAAAGGTTTCTTCCTGTTAAAAGGGAGTTTTTCCTTCCCACTGCTGCTAAATGCCTGCTCATAGGTCTTTACTTTACAATATGAAGCGCCTCGAGGTAACTGCTGTTTTGATTTGGCACTGTATAAATTGAATAGAATTGAATTGCATTGGATCTCAGCTCAGGAGGCTGCTCAGGTCATCCACAGGGGAACATTTCCTTGGCTCCACCTGTCAAAGTGTACCGGAGCAAGACACTGGAACAGCAAATTCCTCCTAAGGCCAAATGAAGCAACAAGTCTTTCACCCAGTCAGTCATAACTTAGCCCAACTTGATAGTTTTGTCAGTGGCACTGTCTTATTTGAAGTGTTCTTCTTGCAATGAGCAGGTGTCAAACACAAAGCTAGTAAGGAGCAGGAGCTAAATTCTCTAGCATATCTGTACAGCTCATAACAATAAAGGCGATGTTGCATATCACTATTGCATATCATTACATTTAGAAGGAGCAGCAACAATGAGGAGCCTATTATGTGTGAGATATGTGTAAACTTACTGAAGAGCCGTCTCCTCGTACTTGCAGTTTGTCAGACCTGTGATTCTCCACACCAACCAAGCCAGTTAAACACGCCAGTGCTGTACACTGATGCTTTCTGAGGTCTTTCCCTTTGTTTTGTTTTGAGCCTTCATACTTATCGCACATAACTAAGAGGTTACAACTAAAAGTTGAAATTAAATATGGATTAGTGTGAGCTGTTAATTTAAAGAGATTTTTTTGTAAAAAGGTAAAAACATTTCACTGAGGTTCACAAGTGCTGTTGACAGTACAAAAACCTGTTTGAGTGACACGCTGTCAATTTTGTTCCAGCAACCACTTGGAGAAGAGCCTTCAGCTCCTGATGGACAGAGTGGATGACATGAGCCAAGACATTGTCAAATATAACACCTACAGCCGCAACCTGAGCAAGCAGCAGCAGCAGAAGCACCAGGTAACTCTTGAATGCATGAATGCACCGTGACACACACACACACACACACACACACACACACACACACACACACACACACACACACACACACACACACATACAGCCACAGTCTCAGCAGGAAAACAGCAGGTAGATTTCTGTCAGACATGGGCACAACCAATTGCAGCTATAATCACAGCAGGCAAGCAGCAAAAGCACCAGGTATCAAACACACCCCCACACACGCACATGTAGGAATATGGTCCTGTAGGCTTATACGTGTACATACTGAGGAGTCGAAGCAGGAACTACAATGTAAAAATGTTAAATAAGTGTCCCAGGTTCTGAGGAGGGATCAAGCAAGAAACGCTACCATATTCATGTTAAGTCGGCTCAAAATAATTTTGATTGAAAGCGCAGGATCTTCCGGTTGGATCTGGTAAAGTTCAGTTGTGTTGCTGAGTGTGATTTTGAGTCATGTTCACGCTGACTTTCATCCCTGTGTGAAAAAACACCGCAGATTCTCGTGCACGTGGTGCAGCTGTCATTGTAGAGGTTCAGACACAGAAAGCAGGGGGACAAAAAGATGAAGAATAAAAGATGAAACTCGTGTCACAAGTAGATTCAAGCAGAGGCACCGAGATCAGTTTGAAAGTGATTTCTCTTGTCTTGAGTTTGCACCAATTAGAGAATGACTAATGTTAATTTTGCAATATCTGTCATAGTGTTATCATCAGTCACCTCATTTCAGTTACTGCTGTAGATCAGCAGATTTTCAATTTCAGGCACCGTCATCCTCATCCTCCTCCTGTCAAGGAAGAGGTAATGTCCTTACTCACTGTAATACAGTCACAGCAATATTTCTCTTTAGGTACTTAAGAAAAGCAGGTTCAGAGGTTATGGAAAGCTGATACATATAAACTGAAAGCTGGCATTAGTAAACTGAGCTTTTCATCTGAAGTGAAAATCCTCTGTTTATATTTGTTGTCTGTAACAGCGAGACACATCACGAACTCAGACTTCATTTAAAAGCGTTTTGCAAAACACAAGCGCACTGTGACAAATGTACTGTGTGTGTAAAGGCTCACAGATGCACACACCACCTCCAAGCACAAACTGGAGGCACGAAGCAAACCAGAACGAAACGCACTTGCACACAGACACACACAGAGTGAGCCTCATACCATCTGCAGCTACAACCTCGTCCAGATGCATCATAAACATCCGGCAAAACATGCTATTGCTAACAGTCAGCGACTCTCACGGGCGCGCTGCTTGGGAAAGTGGAAAAGCGGAGGCACAGGTGACTCACTAATGTGCGCGCAAACGTACACCCACGGTAAAACCGGTCGCGCTATTTTGTCATTATTTTCAGCAAGTGGAAATGAGAAAATGTCTGAGGTATTAATGGCGATTGGGGCTGACTCATCAGCATCTTGGCCGACAGAAGAAAAAGCCAGAGCCAAGTTCACAGTCATTAGGCAGACCTCACAACAATCGTGCATCGGTGACCACAGCTCGTCCTCAGTACGCACACAACGAAAACGCGCTCCTAGATTTATCCCCACGTATCCCCGGGCTATTCACCCACACTGCAGCCATTATGATCCATCATCCTCCCCACACTGACCTCCCCATCATCTCCAGCTCCCCGAAGCCCTGTACACCCCTATACCCAGACTCTCGTCATACACAATATCACACAGATGGGGCCTTTAATGGTGTCACCTTTTTTCACGTTTCACATGAGTCTCGACAATGAACAAATAACGCACAGAGAAGGAGAAAGAGCGCCGCTGTTAAAACCTTTCAGACATCTGCAGTATTTGCTCCATGTAATCTCGTGCTATTGACCCTGCTGCTTCCCGGACAAATGGAACCTTATTAATCATCATAGAAAGTTGCAAAAAGGCATTCTGCTGAGAGGGCTCCATTTTTCATTTATAGCCCTCTGAATTCAGTAAATATCAGGTTCCCAGGAACAGTCTGCAGCCAAGTTAGTCTTTGTAACAGGAAATGTACATCTCACTTCTTTCAATTCATTCATTTTCTCTTTTTTCCCTACATCTGTTGAAAGCGAGGCGCACTTTTAAAGGAGGTTAGGTATGGCGCAGTGTGGTAATCATATGAACTGAGGAATTGTCATTTATGGTTAACGATAGAAACGAAAGGGCTCCGATTAAAAGGTTTAACGTTATGTTATAGCCATGTAATGATTTTGTAAAAATTTAACAGAAAGCAAACACATTCAGCTAAATTTAAGAGAGACTGCATTTGGAAGCAAAATATGCTCGAAATGAAAATGAAGCCCATTGGGGCTTAGGGGGGCGTCTTTGGTAAAAATGACCTTTGACCTCTCGGTTAGGTTGGCGAAAGTCAGATGAGACCAGATAAAGCGCATGGTGAAGCAACAGTAATGAGACGTGGAGGTTGATGGAGCCCACTGGAAATGCAGAGCATGTAAAAGCATGCCAGAATAATTTATTTATTTTTATATATATTTTAAAAAAATAACCCTCAAAGATGGACCTTAGCTGACGGGACGAGAAGATAATTAGGCCTAAGCTGAAGAGAACGAGAGCACTGACACAAGCAGAAAGACGATTCTCAGCTAACAAGCGGCTCCAAATACCACAATATTCTCCGGAGAACAACTGTAAATTCATTGAAGGTCAATCCAAAATTCATTTACATGCTTCAAAGATTAATTTGTGGACATAATTAAGAGTCCCATTTCACCACATGGAGCAACAGTAAAATATTCCGTACCCTGCCAGACTCTAAATATTAAATTATTATATTCGATCTCTGTGGGTAAATAAAAACCAATTCCTTAATTGTGTTTAAGAGCATCTATTTTGCACACACAAACATTGTGCTCTGGAAATGAGCTCGCCTCATGATATTCATTGTCAGACATATTTTCTGACAAACTCGGCACTCGTGGCAGGAAAAGAAGCCATCATATCTACTGAGAGCATAATGTGGTTTATAATAAGTAGAATTTGATCCTGGTCTGTGCGGACCTCTACTTATTATACCAAAAGTGAAAATATTGGGCTGTCATAATGAAGCTTTACTCAGGAAAGCAGCACAATGCCAGAAAGGCATGTTCCCCAGCTGGGAGCACAGTGGTTCCAGCAGTTTTGCTGTAGTGGTGCTTTGGAAAGCTTGTGAAGGTTGAGGGTAAAATGAATATAGGAAAAATAAAATTCAGAGAAATCTGTCTGTAGGCTGTAAAAGAACTGCTGGGATAGGATTATTTTCTACCAAGACATCAAGCTCAAACATGAAGTCAAAGATACACAGTAGTCTAGACCCCATTTCAGTTCAGGCTTTGTAGTAGGACGGCTGTTCCCACACACATCACATAGAACTTGACAGAGATTGAGCAGTTTGTACAGGAAAACTGGGTGGTTGGGGGCGTGGCCGTCAAAGGTGCTTCTATTTTGCTGACTTAGCAAGGGTTGCTTGTTCTTGTGCCACACTTTTTTTTTTTCTTGGTAGGAAAAATTACTTTTTAAGGCATTGTATATCTATATGGAATACTGAGTAAGTTGGAGCATAAGAAAAAAAAGAGTTATTTCTAGAATTCGCATACAATTATGCATTAGCATTTTGATTACACAGTCATGCTGCGGTGCAGTGGCAGAGAAGTTTTATTTAAACAAATAGTTATATTTTTCATTTTCATATTCATATTGTTTATCTTAGCAATTTTTTCAGCTTCAATCAACCATACAGGTGCGTTGTGGGATGTGGTTGAAGTCACTGCTCCCACTCACTTTTTATTCCTTTCCTTGACACAACCACTTCTTCCACCTGTGTGTCTGTCTCTCTCTCCTCCATCTTGCCAAATTAAGAAGGCTTTTAGGATCTCCAGAGACCCAGCACCTCACTGATTTACCGACTGTCAGCCCCCGACAAATCACTCCATCCCTGTCAGCACTTATAACTCTTCTGTTACTCTCTGTCTCTTACATCTCATCTCTCATCACTATGTTTCTCTACATCTCACTCACCTCTTACTGTTTGCATCGTCTCTCTTACTTTGTGCTCTCCTCTTTTATTTCTGTCTCTGTGTTACTTTGCATCTTCCTTGTTCTCACTTCACTTGTTTTTTCTTTAACTTTTGCTACTCCCACTCCTCTTTCTCTGTTTCCCCTCTCTTTATGTTCTCATCCTGTCCTCGTCATCTCCGGCCCATCCCGTTCTCCCTTTCTGTCCACTTTTTTGATTTCTTCCCTCAATTCCCAACCCACTTTTTCCATTCGCAATCTATCTTTTATTTTCATCCTCTCCTCTCCCGTGTCTGCCGTCACTAATGCCACGCCTCTCTGTCTCTGCATCGCTCCCTCCACAGTACCTCCAGAGGCGGCAGCAAGAGAACGCCCAGCGCCAGAGCAGAGGGGAGCCCCCGCTGCCTGAAGAGGACATCAGCAAACTATTCAAGCCCCCCCAGCCGCCACCACGCATGGACACGCTGCTCATTGCAGGTATGCACGCAAACACACACTCACACATCCTCCGAGTATAGTCATGACTCTCCATGACCACTGTAGAGCTCCCTCTCCACCCCCCTCACCCCTCCCTCCAAACAGCCGCCTCTGCTCCCCTCACAGGAGCTCAGGTTCTGTTTTGTAATTATCTCCGCCATTATCTCGAAATTACATTAATTTAAAGTTTATTGACTCAATCTCCATCTCGACCGCCCCTTTTCCCCGCCGCCGTCTCACGCTGTTCAGCTCTCCTCCGCCTCCCGACAACATTCTGATCCTTCCGTTTACTGCGACTCCACACTAATTCACTGTTTTGCTGTGCTGCTGTTTTCTCTCCCACCCCCGCCTGGTTGCGTGCACCGTCTGTGTACATGTGTGTGCGTGCGTGTTTGTCTGTACGTTTCTGTGGGCGCGTGTTTGTGTCTTTTGTATGGGGGCGTGTGGATGCATGTGGTTACACTCCAACAGGGCAAATTAACAACTACTGCCAGAATGTGAAGGAATTCACCTCGCAGAACCTCGGGAAGCTGTTCATGGCGGAGGCTCTCCAAGGCCACAACTAGAGGAGAGACAGAAGGAGCAAGAGAGATGCAAACCCACCTTAATGATGCCCACAGGAGCAGCCTTCATTTTCATTTTTTATTTTTTTTCCTCTGAATTTATTTGTTGTTTTTTTTATGTCTAGAACCACCCCAGACACAGAATTAACTTTGAACACTTGGTTTTGATTTAAATAAAAACTCTTGCATCTCAACATCTTCTCCGTCTCCTTCGTCTGTTATCGCAGTCGAGCTGTCTTTTGTTTTTGATGGAAATTGCAATTTCAGTTTCACTGTACAAAGATGATTGGTTTTGTACAGAATGTTTTTGTGCAGACTATTAATATGTGAGAACGGAGGTCTGCTTGAAAGTACAAACTAATTCCGCAGTACTTTGAGTTGTTTTTGCCACATGCTTTTCATCCGCAGTTCAAACATTAAGCAGGTGGAACCAATTATCAGTGGGTTCGCCTCGTGTTGGCGCACGTGGTGGGAAAACGACATTTTTTCATGTAAACAGAACTGCAACAGAAATATCAGTGAAAGCTGAGCGTTAAATGAAATGCCAGTTACATGACTTGCCCTCCCAACCCTCCTCTTTCTCACTGCACTCACAAAAAGTAGACATTTGTTTTCCTAAAGTGAAATTACACAACGCGCCATGCTCTGCCTTTCTTCTACAATGACTGCAATTAGCATGAGTTTATTTTTAGAAGTCCCACAAGTGAAATCGGGCTTGTAGCAAAGATTATTTTGCTCGTTGAGTTTTCAGGGCAGCACTGCAGGTGTGCCAAATGACAAGGCTGAGAATCTGTCATATATGCTGGGTGACATCCTGTATTTGATGATGAGTGTTGCCAAAGAAAAAACATGATTTGATTAGAGAAATTACCAACAAGGGAAAAAGTTCAGTGGTTTTGAATTTTCCATCCATTCGCTACCGCTTATCCTTTTCAGGGTCGCGGGGGGTGCTGGTGCCAATCCCAGCTGTCATAGGGCGAGAGGCGGGGTACACCCTGGACAGGTCGCCAGTCTGTCACAGGGCCAACACACAAGGACAGACAACCATTCACTCGCACATTCACACCTAGTGGCAATTTGGATTATCCAATTAACCTATCCCCACAAGCTGCATGTCTTTGGGAGGAAGCCGGAGTACCCGGAGGGAACCCACGCAGACACGGGGAGAACATGCAAACTCCACACAGAAAGACCCCGGCCTGATGTTGGAATTGAACTCAGGACCTTCTTGCTGTGCGGCAACAGTGCTAACCACCGTGCCACCGTGAATTTTATTCAGGAAAAAATAAAAGTTGATAAATCAGTTATGTTTCTGATTGTTGGGTCTTAAAAGAACTTACTTTATAATCCCACAGTCTTAAAGAAGACTTTTCTTATTTCTTGTCATGCACACTGAATAAATAAATGTTAATATCAATCAGCCAGCACATATTACACACTGTGCAAAACATGAGAACTTCCACATCTACATAACAAATAGTGACCTAACAAGAACAGGCTGATGCAATGCTTATAAATATACATATCGATATGTATGTCTGGTGTATATTCTTATGATTAAAACCTTCCAAGCAGAAATAGAAATAATATCAACAAAGCTAAGCAACGGTCACATGTAACCCTCAAGGATAAATTTGTGCCCATTCTTTTGATACATGTTGCAGTGGTGACTGCTCATATTACCCTGAGCTAAAGTTGATGATCAGGCTTCATTCTGCTCTAAACAATATGTTTCAGTTTTTTATTTCTACCCCTGGCTCTGTGTGATGTCATTGAGAGCAGACGGTCCTAATGTGGTCATCTCAGGCATGCAGCTCTGCCTGTAGGCACAAAGCCCTACCCACCTGCTGTCCTGACCTTCTGTTTAGGAGGTGTGTCCAATCAGATGAAAGGAAGTGTAAGTGCAGTAAGGACTACACAAAGGCGCAAGATTATTTTGAACTGTGAATCATGCAAAGCTACCCTGGAAATAAGAGTAATCAGTTCCCTTTAAGTTGACTGTCACATTAAAAAAAACAAAAAAACAATTCCAACCCCTATTCCTTTTTTTGGTGCTTTTTTAAAAAGCTTTATCCATCCATTGATCTTATCATGGAAACAGAGCAACATTTTCCTGACCAGCATTTTCAAGACCTGGTCAATAATTACTGAACTCAGGCAGAGGGATTGGAGTTCTTCGTGTGACCACTGAGGCAAAAGGAAATCGATGATCTTATTGAACCTACCTGACCACATCATACAAAGCACATACTCGTTGCTGCCCTCTGGGCATCACTTCGCTGTACCTGATTATAAACTCTATTCCTAGTTACTTGTTTCAACAGGATAAACCACTTGGTATCAATACTGCTTTCCATCGAGTCCTTAGTTTGGGGGGGGAGAAAAGTTAATTAAAATGGAGCTCGGTGAGGCAATATCTATTGAGATTAAGGTAAGGTCAGTAAGATGACATTTGAGCCATGCATATTCTTACCTACACACATCCTAAACAGGTATATAGTTTAGGTTGTTATCCATCAAACTGTCAATGATGACGAATTAATAAATATATTGTGCACACAGTACAGTGAAGGCGACAGTTATGGTGACTTTTGCAGCTTTTAATACATTAGACATCTGGGCAAATACTAAATTGCAGTTGGTTTTAGTTTGGTGGTCGAGGTGTGCTCGTTGACACGCGAGGCATCCTCCTCCACCTGCTTCAAAAGACGCCGCGCTTACCTACGTGGTGCATTCACGACAGCACTGTAAAGCCGGCCTCCCGAACTAACTCGCCTCAGTTTTCACGAGACAGGAACATATTTGGGGAGGGGGGGCAGGCTTTCCTCTACTCTTCAGCCATTAAGAAGGTTTCATCCTTAGCCAAAACCTCACTTATAGGTTGACGGCGCATCCAGCATGTCTGTCGGCATCTAAAGTCCCGTGAAGTGTCCTCGAGTTAAACTCAGAAACCTTAACATCTGCTAAATCCCTCTGCGTGAGAGCGTCAGCTAAACGCCTCAAATGTAACTGTAAGCTGTTTCTGGTGTTGATCCTCTGCAGAGGTGTCACATTATCTCGGTACTTACTTGTGAAGTCATAAAAAGCGCAGCTCATTTGTGGAGCTTGTCGCCGGTGTCCACTCCACCCCAGCAACAGGGACGCTGAATGATTGGCTCTTCTTGCTTCATTTAATAAAGAGACTTGTCAGCGTGCGGTTCAGTGTATCATAATGACGCTGCGACTCTATCTGCCTGCGCTCTCTGTTGTTCTTCCTCGACCTGTGGTTAAACAGCATCATCTAATTCAGCGGATGATGTTATTTAACTTGTCATCAGCCTCGCCTGGTCGAGTAATAACTTGTAGTGCTCCTGCTTGTCATCCGCACAGTGTCATTAACAATAATTACAAGTCAACCAACGTAATAAACGCTTATTGGAACAGCGACACTCGAGCCGGAAATGATTTCTTCCCCAAATCATAACATGTTTCCCTGACATGCAGGCAGGATGGGGAAATATTAATTCATAACAGAAGGCTCAGTTGATATTTATTAATTAAGGTATCTGCCACTTTGACAGGCACAGCTGTGCTTGTGATTGATGCGTCCTGTGATGTGCGGCATTTCTTCCTAGCAGGTATTGATTGGATTTTTGAAGCGGTGTCTCCTGAATCTGCATCGTTTGTAATTCTGAAGCTTCCTCTGTTGGGTGACGTTGTCCTTGAGGGGCTGACTGGCCGGGGGAGGGTGGGGGCAACCTCCTGTGTCCCCAAACCCTGAGGTGTGTGAGCAAATGATAAAACTTGAAAATGCCCTCAACAGATCCATTCGGATCGTGTGGCACCGCTGACCCCTGCAGAGTGCAAAGGCAGTGACAGAGGTTCAGATGGTATTTAAAGTGACAGTGTTTTGATTGTAGTGGAAAACAGTTTGGACTAAATCATGTAGTCACGGCAGGGCTCAAGGGCAATAGAGTGGAAGTGCAGGAGAGCCAAACTGGTGATGTGCTTCTACGTTACTCCACAGCAATATAAATCATTATAATCATTAACGGCCGGCTGAGTTGATAAGCCAATATGGGTGCTAAAATATGTACTCTTTTAAGAGTTAACGGGGCATGGCGGGGTCACATTCAAAGCCAAATGATGTGTTCCTGGAACTAACTTGTTTGTCAGTAACCCTTTAGTACATGAACTCAATAAATTGTGTTTAACACACTGTAAGCCTTTAGCACGTTTTAAAACCGGAACCCTTGACCTCTACAGTGATTTGAGATGGTGCCTCTGCTATGCTGTGGGGGCTTTTTGCCTCTATGGCTTTGATCCACTAGTCTTTTTAGAAGGAAATGTCATTGCACATCAATACAGATTCTGAATGATCACTGATATCATATGATGAAACATTTTTGTTTTCTGCCTGTCCCGTTTGGTTCTTTTGCCATCAGAATTATTGTCTAAAGGCGAGGAAAGATGCCCAACGGATTTACTTTACCAAATTGACCATCCCAGCCAAATGGTCTATTTGATTCATCTTTTATTGTTTATTTTATTTATTTATTTATTTATTTTATTTTCACTTGCTAGATACGGGACAGACTTGAATGAGGAAAAGAAAAGGGAGAAAGGAAGAGGGGGGGAAACAGTGGAGAAGAGGGACGGGATAAAGGGCAAAAAAACCCCAAAAACCAACTAAATAAGCAGACAAAAAACAAAAAAAAACAAAAAAATATATACATATATCAATCACCTGGATCACCTGTTGAGAAAGAAAAAAGAAAACAAGCAGAAGAAAACGAGAGCAATACAATAAACAACATCACGATGATATATGGGAATATAACAGTAAATACTAAATATCAAACATTATTGTGCAGCACGTAAGATCGCAGATTGCAGTGACGCGCCCATGAGCTCCGCCGGCAGCCAGCTGTGCCAGAGTGACCGAGCCCCAGGCCGAGAGGCCCCCACCCCCGAAGTGGCCTGAGCGAGCCCCAGGCTCCAGGCCCTGACAAGCAGCCACCAGGAGTGAGCTGGTGTGTACCCGGGCACCCACCCCCGGACACAAAAAACCACCAACGCACCGATGTCTGAGGGCGTCTGCCACTGGCAGGGGGGGTGGTAGGGGGAGATAGGCCTCCAAACCTTGGAGGGCCTGAGATGTCCCCAGAGAGGTGGCGTCTGATACCCAACCTGACATATAGACACAGACATACAG